AGGGACTTTGGGCAGCTAGATGCGGCGACAACAAGCCAATTTAAGTGAGGGGCTTTCTCTCAATAAAATTCACTTACAAAACAAGCAAACTAGTCATTTGAGTTGTTCGGTGACAAAAAAACAAACATAACAAACCCACGTATTTTTTACTAACTCTTTGTTTAAAAACATTTAGTCACTGAAATGGTTTTGAAATAACAAAAAATTGATTTAAGTGAGAATCCTAAAGGTTAGGGTTTCTCACCCAGAAAATCAGAGCATGGCACAGGCACCAAATTATTTCATCCATTTCAGAAGGTTTTTTGAACTTCCTTTTTGCTCTGAGTACTCAATAAAATGCACGATTCAGCTATTTTAACTTTTAACCAGTGCCCACAAACATGTTACAGAACAGCCAGGCTAGTGAACTGGATCAGTGAGCTGATGTTGAAATATTATGGGTCAGTCTTTCTTTTTTTTTTAATTCAGGAGGAAATACTTCTTCACAAGTGACTCAGGCCCCAGGACCCTCCCCGTCACCCAATGTTCCACATTAGAACCGGCCAATGTGACCAAACAGAAAAGGAAAATCTGCAGAAGAGAAGAAAAAACCTGAAGTTCAGACACAACTTTCATGTTTGCAAAAATAGGAGTTTTTGAACTGACAAAGAAATAGGATTGAAATAAAAAATGCTAGTTTGATAAATCACAACTACTATAAAAATACAGAGAGATACAGCATATGAAATAGTTCATTTCTCAAGCCAGTTAGGTGGGTCAAGAAGATTCTTTTTTAATGGATTTGAGGGGGGAAAAAAAGGTTTTTCTTAAGACAGCACAGATGTGACCAAATCACAAAATCAACACGAGAGGGACTTCCCTGGTGGTCCAGTGGTTAAGACTCCGTGCTTGATTCCGCGTGTGCTGCCACTAAGACCCCAAGCAGCCAAATAAACATTTTCCCCAAAAAATCAATACCAGAACGTGTACTTGGCAGAGGGTTATTGCTTTTAAAGTATAACTGCAGTATAAGTTTTGCAGTAGCATTTGATCTAGCCCATCCCACATCCTTAGATGATTCGGCTCAAAGAAGTACCTTGGCTGCACCTGCATGAACTTGAGGCCGACTCTAAGGAAAATGTTAGGCAAACTCAGGTGGAGGGTGAATGTTGGGTAACTAGTGATGACTTATTCCTTCTTATCACAGTTCCAGTTGTTAAAACAAGAGTTCTGCCCGCCTTACATAAGTCAGGTACAAATTGACACAGGCAACATCTTCACAGATTTCTTAATCTTTCTTAAGAAAAACCTATTTCAAATCAATTAGGTCACCTGTGATTGATCAATTAATGTTATAAACAGTTATGACTACAAACTACTTCTCTCCAAGCTGGATCATCTGGATGCCAAAAACAAGTCAGCCTTACATTACATGTGCTATAACTCTAAAAATAGTTTCTATTTTCTATTCTATTTCCATAGGCTATCAAGAAGGTTTCCCCTTCTCTACTTGGAATTAGAATTTTTCTCCCTTCCCAATATACAGTCAACACTCCAAAAAATATAAAAACAGAAGGAAATATGAGAGTATTTCAAGGCATAAAAGCACCAAAGAAAAAGTTTAGGCATTTGGTATTTCAACTAACTGGTTAACATTAGAATAAAATTTAATTTGTTTGAAGAGCACTGTGGAACCCTGAGCTCAAAATTCCATTTTTACCAAAATGACCTAAATAATGTATCTGGGATTCATATGTGCACCATGTAAGATCAAAGTTTTTGCAAATCCTGCTTGAATTTAAAATAAAAATGTTTCCAAAGTGTTTGATTTGCCAGGGGACTCTACAATGTCTGCAAGATAATGCTCTTCAACCAAGATCACTTGATTTTGTACATATTATGCTCCAAACCTACTGAAACCATTTAAAAATGATTTTCCTGTTAAAATACCACAAAGACACTCATTAAAATCATAGTCATTTCAATATAAAGACTCACACATTCTTCTACTAGTTTAGGCCAGCTTTCCAAAGCAGTGCAACATACGACCCAATAGTTTTCAAAAACAAAAAGGGCTCCAGAGGAAGGGGAAAAGAAGAAATCATAAATGTAACCAATACACAAAAGTAATGCTTGACATAAATCAAACAGGAGGGCTGTGTTTTAACACAAATTCTGAATATCAGGACTGACACTTAACAAAAGCAAGCATAAGCAAACGGTAATTTGGAATAAATAGGCAGACAAACTGACATATCCTTGAGAAGGAAAGAACGTTATAATGGAGTTGAAATCTCATTTTATATATTAGGAAACTGAGAACCCAGAAAGGTTAAATAATTTGTTCTATATCATGCAGTTAATGGCTGATCTTACCAGAATCAAGTCTCCTAATTCTAAGCCCACCAACCACCTAATACAACTGTGGACACCAAAGTTCTAAATATTCTTTCATAATCCAACGTCTTCATACTTTCCACTGAACTGTGCCCTGTGTGGTATTCGCTGACTGGTTAGAACAGCCCTCGTTTTAAAAAATCATTTTTTCAAATATCACACAGAGAAATAAACTCTGAAACCTGTAACAAAAGTACACACCTCTTGAAAGATGGCTTCCCAAGATGCCAAAAGTGCAGAGATTTCAAACTCCCCCCGACAAGCTCAAAGTTGAGGCCAAAACCTATTCTACCGCCAACAAAATATCTAGTTCTGACGTTTCCACGTAAATTAACGTTCATCAGACAACTGGCATCAAGTGTGTCTGCAATCAACGCTAAATTCTCAACCTTGCTGCAGGGAGGACCACACTCACAAAGCCCGTTAGATCATGAGTAACGACAGCTGGGGGAAAGGGAAAAGGAGTTTTGGAAAGAACACTCATCACCTGATCCTGCGATAGCAAACACCATCCAAAAACTCTTTAAAGCATTTCTGCACCTATGACATCTAAATTTCTGAGTCCAAAAATAATTTGGGAGGAAGGACAAAACCTCCACTACAGGAGGAAAAGGCTCACATCCAGACCTGCCAACTAGGCTTGATTAATATATAAATACACCTGACACAAACGTTGTAATTAAAACCTAGTCCTTCTAAAACATTAATCACATTTCTACCCCAACTCACAAAATCAGTTACTTCTGCTTTTAACAAGAAAACTGAAACTAATCTGATGTCAATTATAGATTACACTGTAAATGAGAACCAAATGAAAGTTGTCAGTAATTAAAGTTTTACAAGCATTACAAAGTCAAAAACGTGGCTTTTATGTAACCATAAAAATAAGAATGTATATACTGTATCTATAGTGAGTGTTTCCTACCAGCCCTGGAATAAAGAATTATGTTTCTCCAGAAACAAAGATCCCTGGGATATACTTGTCACTTACAAAACCAGAGTCTGGGTTTGGGTCCAAATCATTATCTGATCTGATTGTATTATCTGGTCATAACCCGATCTGACATCTTTATACAAAAAAAACTATTTCCCCTTCCTTGAAACAAAAAATGGATCATGCAACAACTAAGAACTCTCAGAGGAAATTTTCGTTTGAAAAAAAAAAATCACCCATTGCTGTTTTCAGGGATTTCACCAATAATTGAGGGCCATGCATTTGCCATAAAGTGTCCAAAATGATCATTCTCTTTTTCAAAGAATCTGACCAGACTGACTTTTAAGTCATCATCAGACCAGTCACTGAACAGAAAAATCCAGGGGAAAATCCCCAACAGGGATTAGCCTGAACTTTTTATTTCCTTTCCAGAGCGGGAAATATTCACGTTTGGAAAGTCCCCCAGCAGAACCGTATTTGTAACACTACAATCTGGCCTCAGGTGTGAATTTAAACCGGAAGACGGGGCAGCAGACCCGCAGGAATGGGGAGAGCGAGAAAGAGCAGATGAGGGTGCAGACTGGTCCAGGATCTCTGGAGCCCGCTAGCGAGGGGCAAGCCGACAGACACCGCTGGCAGCTACACACACCCGAACCACCACGCCGCATGCCCAGAGCAGAGCTTCGCGCTCACCCTTGAAGGTTGCACTATGAGCCACCTAGGAGACACGGGCATTTCATTGAAGACTCAATGAGAGTGAATCAAGGAGTCTGCGTTAGTGCAGCTGCCAAAGCCTCCAGAGTGTGCGTGGGGTGCGGGCGGCGGCGGGGGGGGGAGGTTTTTCAAGGATGCTGGCGGGTGGGAGAGGGGTGACGGTAAAGGAAAGAACTGAAGAAGCACAGTCAAGAGTAGGTAGTGGCCTGGCCTGAGAGAGAAAGGAAGTGGACTAGACTGAAGAGGTCTGGACCAGAGGGGAAATGAGAACAGGACTGGGAGAAGCTACGAGATAGGATTCAGGAATTCGAGGCTGAAGGAAAGGGTGGAGGCCGCCAGACAGAAGCAAGGGGGCGGGGCTGGGAGATAAGCGGGGGCGGGACTAGGTAGAAAATGAGGGGAGGAGTTTAGGGGAAAGTGAGGGGGCGGGGCTGAAGAGAAGAAAGGGGCGGGGCCCGGAGGGGAGAAGCTAGGGGGCAAGTGGGGGGTGGGGAAAGCAAGAGAACGGATGAGGGATGGGGTGAGAAGTCAGTGGGTGGTTGGGGGAGAGACCTGGAGGGAGAAGCGAGAGGCAAGGCCGGGAGGGGAGAAGCGAGGGGGCAGGTGGGGGGAGAGATAGGGAAGAGCCAGAGAATGGGAAGGTGGCGAGAAGCGAGGGGAGAGACTGAGAGGGAAAAGAGAGGGGGCAGGTGAGGGGAGAGGGAAGAAATCCTGAGGGAGGAAGGGGTTGAGAAGCGGGGGGCGGGGCCAGGGGGGGAGAAGCGAGGGGGCGGGGCCGGGGAGAAGCGAGGGGGCGGGGCCGGAGGGAGCAGCGAGGGGCACTCGCCGAGGGGGGCGACCAGGTCCTGGGACAACGGCCGGCGTGGGGGAGGGCCACTTCCCCAGGGCGCCCTGCGGGAAATTCCGGGGCTGATGAGGGGCCGTGCGGGGTGCGAGTGGGCGCCGGGTGTCGGCGGGGGCCTCCCGCCGGCCGTACCTGTCAGACGGATCTTGATGCTGGAGCCGTTCCTGCGCGTCCCGGGGTTCGACATCTCCCGCCAACGATCGGGCAGCCGCGGATCCAGCGCTGCCGCCCCCCGGCCCGGCCCGGCCCGGCCCCGCCGCCGCCGCCTCAAGGTTACGGCTCCGGGCTGGGCGCCGGGGTCCGAGCCGGGACACGAACTCCGCGGCCCAGGCGTCCGGGCGGCTGGCGGATGGTCGAGCCGGGGGATCGGCTCTCGACCCGGCGCCCCCGACCCTCGCTCGCTCCCAGCCGAGCCCAGTCCGGAGCCGCCGCCGCCGCCGCCGCCGCCGCCACCACCACCACCTCAGAGCCGGACGCCAGCCGCCCTCGCCGCTTCCGCCGCCGCCACCGCCTCCCGGAGCCGCGCGCGCTCCCGCCGTCGTGCCGGCCCGGCCCTGCGCGCGCCCGGGTCGTGCAGCCCCCCACGCCTGCGTGCGTGCGCGCGCCCGCGGGGATGTCTGGGCGGGGCGCGCCGCGCGGCTGCGTCGCCCGCTCAGCCCAGGGCGCTAGGGGTCCGGAGCCGGTGGCCGGGTTCCCGGCACCCGTCGGACCGGGAGGCGGGAGGAGGAGATCGGGTGCTGGGGCCGAGCGCTTCGGAGGCCCGCGGAACCCGGCGCGGTGTGCAGAGCCGCGGGGCCGGGAGCGAGCGCTGGGCACACACCTAGGCGGGCGGGACGGCTGGGCCAGCGCGTGGTCGCCTTTGGTCTTCGCCACATTCTCGAAGGGAACCGGTTTGCCGATGCGGACGTTGAGGTTCAGAGAATGGAATCGATTTTCCAGGTCTCACTCAAGGCTCCGAGCTCCTGAGAGCTGTTGAAGGGGGGCTTACAGGAAACCGTGGCCTGTTACTACGCCAAGCACTTTGCACGAATAGGCATGCAATCCCAGTTTATTTACTTTTAGTAAAGAGCGTCTAGACAACGCAATTTCAAGGGAGGGACTTCTAGAGACAAAGTCCCCTAGGTGTGTTCTGGGCAACTAGTGCGCTCTATTGACCCATAACAAAGTTGCCAGAATCGCAGAAAGTGCCATATATGGACAAGGTAAACAAGATGCGAGAGATGGATAAAGAGGTAGATAAGATGTTTGTCATTATCCAATCTGCATACAGTTTAGCCAAGCAAAAAGGCAGCTTTACGGCCTGTGTTTCCCTGCCTTCTGTTAACACTTCTCCCACAGTCGCAGGGTAGAACTAAAAGCCCATTATGCTTTCTCCAGCAAACAAACTCCTCTGTTTGTTAACCCGTTACAGAGAGGAAATACTGTGTTGATAGAGAGGAAAAGCTGGGTTTGTTTATCAGACTTGTTTTTGACCAACTACCTGATTCTTTGAATGCCTTTTTTGGTTTATGTCCTAAGGAAACCAGGCTCTGAGCCCTTGCAGCCATCCCTTGCAGCCAGAGACCTGTCTTGGGGTCACAGTCTTCAGAACAGATCCCTCTTCCTGGAGCCCCTTGACATGTCCACCTGCTCAGGCTGAGCTCAAGACTCTCTCCTGGCCTGGATTCAAGGCTGCCTCTCCCAGCCTCAGTCAGTGACATAAAAGGACAGGCCTAGATCGTTTCTATGGCCCCTTGCAGCTCAGACTTTGATTCTAGTGAAATATCCAAGAATACAAACTATGTTGAGTCAACAGAGCAGTAGATCCAGAATCCAGCTCTGTTTCTCTTTGAGGCGATTGTCACTGAGTTCCTGAATCTGAATCAATCCATTTAGAGCCTGCAATGCCTGGAGTAATCCCCATTCTTCTTTCAGTCCAGTCAGTATTTCTCCCTCTGCTTTGTTCGCATATTCAAGAACTCTCTTCTCCGTAAACCAGACTAAACGTCTTTCTTTCTCTGCTTACCTGAGTGTGGGCCCCTGTTCTTACCTCAGCTGTTTCTTACCTGAAAACCTTTCATTTCTTAACCTCATTGTTTTCTTACCTTCCTAGATGTCTGGGCCTTTTCTTGTTTCCTCAACAGCTGAGTCAGACCACTTCTGGAGGTTACTGGATTGCATTTCATTTATCATTAACAAGTAATACATGGCTAGGGACAAGGAACATAAATAAGTCAGAGCTCCAGCACTTCCGAGGCTCTGTTGGTTGGATGAAGCAGACAAGAACTGATAATGATACAGTGATAGAGATGTGCACAGAGGCTAGGAATAGGACCATTCTACCTGGCAGGAGAGAGATGGGAAGAGCTTAGAAGAGTCACAGAAGATCTTGATCTAGGGCTTTAGAGGCAAGTTTAAGTTCAAGTTTGTTGGGCAAAGAGGTGGGGAAGGGCATTATAGACAGAGGGAACAGCCTGCGCAAAGGCAGGAAAGTGAATGCATTTCCCAGCGCAGTTTTCAGTGTAAGTGCAGTCACGTAGCTGCTGGATCTTCTCTCCTTACACCCTACTCCATTAAAAGTTGATAGAGATGATAAAAGATATTTGCCCACTTAAAAATCATCACCCGGGCTTCCCTGGTGGCACAGTGGTTGAGAGTCCGCCTGGCAATGCAGGGGACACGGGTTCATGCCCTGGTCCAGGAAGATCCCACATGCCGCGGAGCGGCTGGGCCCGTGAGTCATGGAGGCTGCGCGTCCACAGCCTGTGCTCCGCAGCGGGAGAGGCCACAAGAGTGAGAGGCCCGCATACCACAAAAAAAAAAATTATCACCCACAATTTTGTGTTAAGGCTGTAGGCAAGCCCTTATATTGAATTTAAGATGTACCTTGATACCCTTTCATTCTGTATCAGATGTGTCAAAAATTCTGTCAGCCCTCTGTATCCACGGGTTCTGCATCTGTGGATTCAACCAATCTCTGATCGAAAATACTTGGAAAGAAAAATTCCAGAAAGTTCCCCAAAGCAAAACTCCTCTGCACCAGCAACTATTTACATAGCATTTACATTGTATTTGGTGTTATAAGTAATCTAGAGATGATTTAAAATATACAGGAGTACAATGAGGTATCACCTCACACCAGTCAGAATGGCTATCATCAAAAAATCTACAAACAATAAATGCTGGAGAGGGTGTGGAGAGAAGGGAACCCTCTTGCACTGTTGGTGGGAATGTAAATTGATACAGCCACTACGGAGAACAGTATGGAGGTTCCTTAAAAAACTAAAAATAGAACTACCATACAACCCAGCAATCCCACTACTGGGCCTATACCCTGAGAAAACCATAATTCAAAAAGAGTCATGTACCACAATGTTCACTGCAGCACTGTTTACAATAGCCAGGACATGGAAGCAACCTAAGTGTCCATCGACAGATGAATGGATAAAGAAGATGTGGTACATATATACAACGGAATATTACTCAGCCATAAAAAGAAACGAAATTGAGTTATTTGTAGTGAGGTGGATGGACCTAGAGTCTGTCATACAGAGTGAAGTAAGTCAGAAAGGGAAAAACAAATACCGTAAGCTAACACATATATATGGAATCTAAAAAAAAAGAAAAAAATTAGTTCTGAAGAACCAAGGGGCAGGACAGGAATAAAGACGCAGACATAGAGAATGGACTTGAGGACATGGGGAAGGGGAAGGGGAAGCTGGGACGAAGTGAGAGAGTGGCATGGACGTATATACACTACCAAATGTAAAACAGATAGCTAGTGGGAAGCAGCCACATAGCCCAGGGAGATCAGCTCGTTGCTTTGTGACCACTCAGAGGGGTGGGATAGGGAGGGTGGGAGGGAGACGCAAGAGGGAGGAGATATGGGGATATATGTATATGTATAGCTGATTCACTTTGTTATAAAGCAGAAACTAACACACCATTGTAAAGCAATTATACTCCAATAAAGATGTTAAAAAATAAATAAAGGGCTTCCCTGGTGGTGCCGATGCAGGGGACGCGGGTTCGTGCCCCGGTCCAGGAGGATCCCACATGCCGCGGAGCGGCTGGGCCTGTGAGCCATGGCTGCTGAGCCTGCGCGTCCGGAGCCTGTGCTCCGTAACGGGAGAGGCCACAACAGCGAGAGGCCAGCGTACCGCAAAATAAATAAATAAATAAATAAACAAATAAGTATACGGGAGGATATGTGTAGGTTATATGCAAACACTACGTCATTTTGTATAAGGGCCTTGAGCATCTGAAAATTTTGGTATCTGCAGGAGGTCCTGGAACCAATCATCCACAGATAGGGAGGGATGACTATACTAAAGATATTTGGAACAAATAGATGGGAAATGTCAAACAATTCTGCTGAGGCAGAGATGGAATTCAGTGTCTCTGCAAGTATCCTCTTTGCAATGACTTTACAAAATGTAGTTCTGACCCTGCTTTCTGTGTAGGATTTAGTAGCTGATTTTATTGCCCCAGATGTATCACTTCCCTGAGTCAGTGTTATTGGGCATTTGAAAGGTTTTCCAGCCGGGGAAAAAGTCTCTTTGGATCTAGCTGCAGCAGTTCTTAACCTCTTTTTGAGTCCCAAACCTCTTGGGAATCTGATGGCAGCAATGGAACATTTCTCCAGAAAATTTCATATGGGCAAATTCACACCAAATTTTGCATACCATTTCAGTGGGTTCATGATCTCCTGAAGCCAATTTGTATATCCTGTAAGTTCCCATCGCCCCTAGATTAAGAACTCCTAACCCAAAGGCAACGACCAAGCAAATAGCATTGGGAATATCCAATATGTATGTGTTCCGCACAGCAGTAGCTCCTTTTGAAGGCAGTGGGTATGCCGAAAAGAGGGCAGCTATAATCCACACAGACCTACAATTTACCCTAGCTTCATCCTATTACCAGCTGGTGCCAGAGCAAGTTAATTAAATCTCCAAGTCTCACTTTGCTCATCTGTAAAATGGAGATAAAAATACCTCTCACTCAAAGTTATCATGAGGCTTAAATTAAATCTTGGGTGTAGATTTAGCAGTCTAACACAGCAGGCACTCGGTAAATGGCAGTTCTTATTAGTACATGTAAAATGCATGTGCTAGTCTTTGCTCCAAAACCTGCAAGTTCTATTACCCTAGGGAAATCTGTTTGGAATACTGTGCAGAGGATCCCTTGTGGGAGTAGAGACAGCTACAAAAAATGCCTCTTGGGGCTTCCCTGGTGGCGCAGTGGTTGAGAGTCCGCCTGCCGATGCAAGGAACACGGGTTCATGCCCCGGTCCGGAAAGATCCCACATGCCGCGGAGCGGCTGGGCCCGTGAGCCATGGCCGCTGACCCTGCGCGTCCGGAGCCTGTGCTCCGCAACGGGAGAGGCCACAACAGTGAGAGGCCCGCGTACCGCAAAAAAAAAAAAAAATGCCTCTTGAGGACACGTCTGGACCTGAGCTGTCGCCTCTGAGGCCAG